AATATATTTCTTTATTGATTTCAGAGAGGAAGGGAGAAGGAGAGAGAGATAGAAACATCAATGATGAGAGAGAATCATTGATTGGCTGCCTCCTTCACACCCCTTACTGGGGAACGAGCCCGCAACCCAGGCACGTGCCCTCGGCCGGAATCGAACCCAAGACCCTTCAGTCCGCAGGCTGACGCTCTATCCACTGAGCCAAGCCGGCTAGGGCAAGCATCTGCTTCTTGCTGTTTGCTTTGGGCACCTGGAGTATCCTGGTGGCAACAGCTCTTCACCTTGGCAGCTGGGCTTGATTCGCCTTTTCAGCTTTCCCCTCTTCTCAGAACCAGCTGTCATGGTGTACCTCAAACACGTTGCTCCAATTCTTCCTCTGAGGTCTGAGTTCCACTTCCCCTCATGCTCTTCCTCCAACCTTCTGAATTCCAGTAACTCCCACTTCTTCCCTTTGTTCACCCCAGCTCCTCCCAGGGCTTCTTTCAGTTGCCACCGCTATGTTTCCTTTGGCCTTTGAGGTCCTTCTAAAAGCTCCCTCTGGTTTTCACGTGACTAGCTGCAGCCAAGATTCAATTCTTTTGGCATCTGACCAGCCTCCTGTTTTAAACAGGGCATCTCAGGGCTGCGAACTGGTTGATAAGGGTCGCAGAGCCTCACAGCCTGGCTCGGTGGATTGTCGATGGCTTCTTGACATGGTTACAGAAATCGACCAGAGCCAGACAGCAGAGCATCCTGGGGGTTGACTGCCGTGACTGCCCCCCCAGGAGGACAACTAGGGTCACAACAATCTTTGTGAACACTGTCTGGCTGGGCTTTGATTTTTCTCCTGTGAGTGGGAAAATGGCGTCTTTTTAAAAGTCTTCATGGCCTTCCTCAGATAGGTTGCTGAGGAAACTGGATTTGAGAACCTCACATTCCAGAGGCACCATGCTGTTACTATGGCCACCACTGTGTACGTGTGCACCAGTGTTTAATAACGTCACTTCAAGGACTGATTCTTTAACCAGATTGTAAACATGTGTACGGAGCTTGCCCAACAAAGGAACAAAACGTTTGTGCAATTTGTAAGCAAAACAACGTGAGCTAAGTGCAGCCTGCGTGGCTCGGTGGTTGAGCGTTGACCTATGAATCAGGAGGTCACAGTTCAATTCCAGGTCAGGGCATATGCCCGGGTTGTGGGTTCGATCCCCAGTATGGGGCGTGCAGAAGGCAGCTGATCAGTGATTCTCTCTCATCATTGATGTTTCTATCTCCCTCTCCCTCTCCCTACCTCTCTGATAAATAATAAAAATATATTTAAAATAAAATAAAACAACAACGTGAGCTAACATCTCAATGGGCCAGGATCTTTCAGTGTTCTTCCCCCACAGGCTTGTCACAGCCATTACGAACGATTTCTCCTGCCCCCAGAAATCCCCGGGGTATGTAATTCTCCTAACCCAGTTAAGCACGCACCTCTATAGTTCCCACCATTTTCAATCTGTGTCTAAAGAAAGCTGCTTATTCAAACATCTATTTTTCGTTTTAAGCCAGCATATTCTCATAAGGTTTTTCCTAATGTTATACGTTCTAGATGGTGCCAATCTTTAGTCTTCCCAGAGGCAATACCCAACATCTTGGGATCTCAAATGCTTCTGACCTCAAATGCAACTTCCCTCATGTCTGCCACTCCTAGAATCACGCCCTGTACCCCATCTCCAAAATCTCTGTTTCAGGAATTCTGATTTGGTATTTTGATGCCTATCTCCTAGTCTTCTATCTCACTTAGGTTAGTGTTTGCGGTCCAGTATCCCTTCAATCTTACTGATGAGATAGGATGAGCCTGTTTTTTAGTTAATCCTCCCCTGAGGATATTTTCCCATGCGTTTTTAGACAGTGGAAGGGAAGGGGGGAGACAGAGAAACATCCATGTGAGAGAGACACGTGGATTGGTTGCCTCCCACACATGCTGGGGGGTGTGGGGAGCGGTAGGGCAGGAATCGAGCCTGCAACCGAGGTACGTGCCCTTGACTAGAATCGAACCTGGAACCCTCAGTCCACTGGCTGATGCTCTATCCACTGGGTGAGCCTTTCTTAAACAGATAGGAATGCTTTTCAGTTCTGAAGCCTCTCCTAGACCAGGTTAGTTTCCCTTCGGGCGCTCCCCAAGAGCTTTGCTCTGCACCTGTGCCGGTGAATACCAGCCCCCGGAGGGAACCTGGGAAGCAGAGACACCTACCCTGCGCCTGCGTGAGGAACCCAGCCACCCAGCCTTCTAGAAGCCAGACCCCAACAGCAGTTCAGGAGCCGTATTCTTCATTAAGTGTGTGCTCCCTTGATGCATCAAGCCCCCTCTGCCTTGTTTTCAGTAAACCTCTTCTTTTTGAATCTGTTTCACCTCCTCTCTTGATTTCTATCCTTGAAAGGGGGCAAGAACCCCTTCTCTGGTGACCCGGAGACCTCTGATTCATTGACCACCTCTGCTTACTAACCATCTTCCCTCGGGTCCTTACCGCCTCTTTACTCGTCCCAGATTCCCATGTTCATTACTAGAATCGCTCCCTTGCAAATGACCCTCATCCCCTGCTCCTCCCCCTCCATTGCTTTTGCTTGGCAGCATCTTGACCCTGTGCTATCACCACTGTCATTCCATTCCAGGCCTTTCCTGCACACACCACTGTGCTCCCTGGCCTCCCTTGAAAGTCTCACCACGAGTCTCAGACGGGTACCCAACACTCTGTGGCAGCCTTCCCAGATGCATTTTCTTTCCCACGTTCTAGCACATTTATTTCCCACTTGCCTTCACCACGCACTTCAAGGAGGAAGCCAGAGCAGTCGGCAGGGACACCTCCATCATGATACCAGCCGTCACACCTGCCGATTTCCCGGCTGTGTGCCCAGGCTCACGCTGGATGAGGCTTGCCCTTCTGAAGAGCCCCAATCTTAAAATCTTCCCTCTGGAACTTTCTATGCATCACTCATCCATCGGCTCCTTCAGAGGATTCGCCTGAGGTTCCTCACGTGGGAGTGACGCAGTTCTGAGGCAAGTATTGTTTGAGGCTTTGAGGTGTTTTGAAATAAGTAAATTGCTTTTGCCATAAAAAAAAAAGTTTACGTGTCTAATTCTGTATGAAAAACTGGGAAGTGGGAGGCTACGGACGGAAAGCATAAATTAGGAGCTTGTCGATAAGAAGAAAGGAGGGAAGGAACGAAAGAAGAAGGAAAGGAAGAGCGAGGAAAGGCACGCTGGTCTGCAGGATCCTCATTAAAATGTTTCCCAAGTCTTGAGAACCGAGAGGGGAAAATGGCATAGGCAGATCCTAATATTCTAATACCGCAATCCGACTTTCCGCCTTGGGAGTCAGAGGGTGAAGCAGCTTCCTGCCGGACTCAAATCTCAGAGGGAGGAGTGTGTGGACCTGCTAGGGAAGGGAAGCCCCTGTTTAAGAAGGGCGACCACACGTCAACAGAGGGAAGAAGCCCAGGCCCTTCCAGGCATCGAGGCCACTAGTCCCCATCACTGAACCTGCTGCACACACTCCTGCTGCTGCCTCCAACACAAGTCATCATGCCTCTCGGTAAGAAGAATCAGTGCCCCGAGCCTAAACAAAGCCTCCAGGCCCAAACAGAGGCTCCAAGCCTCGGGGCTGCACAGGTTCCTCTAACTGAGGAGGGAGCTGCTTTCCCCTCTCTTTCTGCTTTGATTCAGAGCATCACAGAGGCTGTGCTTGCTGCTGGAATATCAAGTGTTCCCCAGAATTCCCAGAGAGCCTGCCCCTCCTCCACTGCCATCAAAGCCACTCCATCGAGCAAATCAACTGAGGCCTCCAGCAGCCGAGAGGAGGGTCCGACCACTTTGCAGCCTCCACCAAATCCTGAGTCCTTGTCCACTGAAGTGCTACAGAGTAAGATGACTGAATTGGTGCGCTTCCTGAGTAACAAATATGTAACAAAGGAGCCCATCACAAAGGCAGAAATGCTAGCGAGTGTCATGAGAGAGCACAAGGATCACTTCCCTGAGGTCTTCAAGAGAGCCTGTGATTGCATGGAGACTGTCTTTGGCCTTGAAGTGAAGGAAGTGGACCCCCCCAGCCATTCCTACGAGCTCGTCAAATTACTAGACCTCACCTACGACGGGATGCTGAGTGATGACCAGGGCATGCCCAAGACTGGCCTCCTGGTATTTATCTTGTGCATAATCTTCGTGCACGGAAACAGTGCCCCAGAAGAGGTAATCTGGGAAATGCTGAGTACGATTGGGGTGCATGCTGGGAAGAATGATTTCATCTACGGGGAGCCCAGGAAGCTCATCACTGAAGATCTCGTGCAGGAAAAGTACTTGGAATGCCGGCAGGTGCCCGGGAGTGATCCTCCGCGCTATGAGTTCCTGTGGGGTCCAAGAGCCCGTGCTGAAACCACCAAGATGAAAGTCCTGGAATTTCTCGCCAGGGCCACTGGGACTGAGCCCACTGCTCTCGAAGACTGTTATGAGGATGCACTGAAAGATGAGAGAGAGAGAGCTGAGGCCGAAGCTGCCCCCGGTGGTGGTCAGTGAAAGTCCTGGTGTCACATCCGGCAGCTTCTGCCATCTTGAGGGAAGTCTGGGAAGCTTCTCAACTTGGTGTTTGAAGAGGGAAATCAGGGTTCTAACTAGTGGATGGATGAATTGCAATCTTTTTCTTCTTTCTTTTTTCTTTTTGGTATGTTTCAAATGTTCTGCCTCCTAAGAGAATTATTAGCTTCAGAGTCTAGGTTCATGAATGGCATTGGTTATGTATTTAGTGCTGTTTAACAGGTTTAAGGATAAGGGTTTTGCTGTTCTATAAAACAAACTGGGGAACCTTCCATCTTACTTTGTGATCTGGAGCAGGATAGCATGGCATTGGAATAGGAATTAGAAATGTAAAAGTGCTCAGCAATGAAATAGATGAGTTCAGGAAATAGAGGGAAATGTACAAGACGGTTATCCTAGGATTCCTATATTACATTTAGTCTGCTGTTTTGTAAATTTAAAGATATATACCTGGATTTGTTTGGCTAATTAAAGAATGTATGCAAAATTAAATCTTAATAAATGTTAGCCCCAGCTAAAAAAATAAAATAAAGTAAAACTGCAATCCAATTGCATAAAAACATAAATTTGAATCTAGGAAATTTGAGAGAAAATATTTAAATATTTTATGTTTTTGTTTAGAGCAGATATCTATAAAAATCCATTATATTACACAGACCTATATTATAGAGATTATATATACAGATATTTTATTACTTATGCAAAAAACGTGATTTGTTGTGGGCTATAAACTATGGCTTTCTCGGGTTTCGCTGCTACTTGATGGTTCTGAGTATTGGCTTTCTGACAGGGTCTGGAACGAAGCCATTTTTATTAATTTAGTATGTGGCCCCTTTCCGCCCTCAGGCCTCTGTTGTGAAAGTTTTACCTGTGCAAATGTCCTCTGATCTTCTTGTTCTTTTTCTGTAATCATAAAAATGTCTTTGTTATTTGTAGGAACTTTCTTGTAGACATTTGGCCTCCAAAAGCTTCATACTATACCCTGTAGATCAGAAATTTATCTTGTAAAATAGCAGTCAGTCTCAAATCTGTACTTACTTAAGTAGCTACTTGAGTTTCTGCATTTTTAAAATATATTTTATTGATTTTTTACAGAGAGGAAGGGAGAGGGATAGAGAGTTAGAAACATCAATGAGAGAGAAACATCGATCAGCTGCCTCCCGCACACCCTACTGGGGATGTGCCTGCAACCAAGGTACATGCCCTTGACTGCAATCAAACCTGGGACCCTTGAGTCCAAAGGCCGACGCTCTATCCACTGAGCCAAACCAGTTAGGGCAGAGTTTCTGCATTCTGTTGTTTGCCAAAAAAGTTGTAGTTTTATTTTCCTGGCTTCTTCCTTTTGTCAAAGAATTGTTAATATAATCACTAATATAACAGATTAGTCGTCTTAAAATGTGTTAGAAGTTTTTGTCTCTGCTCTGATGTAAAGAGATGCAGGCCAAGAAGCCCCCCTTTTCTTCTTCGCTGGATGAAATCAACTCCAGGCATGGTCTGGAATTGCTGCAGCCACCTTGAAACCCCAAGTGGAAACATCACCTACCTGCTGAGAACAGCAAGACAGAAAGATGGACTCATTGGTGGATCTGGGTCGGTAATGACCTTCTCAAGGCTCTGGGCTGACCTTGGACCACCTAGCCCCTAGGCATCTTGTCTGGGGTAATGACTGTCCTTGGTGTGTGTGTGTGGGTGCATGTGATTACAAAAGCAAGCAAGAATTTATTGACTGCAGCAAAATATACTGCAACAAGGAAGGGCATAGCAGAAGCCAACAGGAGAGCCTAGGCTGGGCTGCCTTGGCTCACAGGGAAGTCAAAGAACAGGGGACCTTGGAGACAGGTTCAGCGGGTTAGCCTGGGAGGAGCTGCTGCTGCCCGTAACTCCCCTGGATACAAGTCTCAGGGGCCCCTTAGAGGTTAGGGGATAGGTGCAGTGGCGGGTGTGTGGTGGT